AAATTAAATAAGTTAAGGACTACCAGACAAGAAGAAACAAACTAGCAACCATATAAGAAACTCATTCACATGAGTGCACAGTGAATTTCAAAACTGTCTACACCAGATTTTTTTTTTCTATTTTCTGACAATGAAGGTATTATCATTACAAAATAACCTACTCTACTATTCCTACTTGAGTCAGAGACATAAACTCTTATTAGAATTTAAGGCAGGACTATTCACTTGTGTGCTATTCTGATACTTTGGATTTTGGAAAAGTAATCCAAACACAATTATGAATGCAGCTCTAAGATTTCCTGTAACAAAGACAGCCAAAGACCAAAATTTCCCACATTCAAAACCATATTTAGCATCTGGGTGCTATAAGGAAAAATCCATATATATTCTCCCGACTTGGAAGATATTACAAATTTAATTAAGTGATCTAAAGACCAGCATAATACAAACTGGCCTCAGAATATCAATATCCTGCCTTACTCCAACTCAGTTAATTTTCATGTATTTCCATTATGTTTTGATTTCAAAGATTTCTTTCATTCCAATTGTCACTTAATTTGACATTTTGTCACCAAGAATGTCTGAGTAGGTCCCCTAGACTACATTTCCACTGATAGCCAGTCAGTGCCGACAGTGAACAAAATCCTAAGTCCCCAAACACATAAAACAGGGCTGCTGCTTGTTAACAAAGAACAAAAATGCAAGCATACATTGTGCATGCACACTGCTCTCTAAATGGCCAGAAATCTTGATTTATAGAGAAGTGAGGTATAGTAGTGGCAGCATTTACAAGCTGTGTGCAAATACATGAAAGAAATCCTTAGCTTAGTACTGCTTTCTTACATTGAAAGAATTAATGAAAAGTACTTTGGGATCTCTTCATGGTATACTTTTTCATTGACAAGCAGGGATTTCAAGTAAGAAACATTTTAAGAACAAATCTTAAAGTGAACTGGATACTTTAAAACAAAGCAAACACTTCAATAACAACTCCTAAAACAAACTGGATACTTAAAAACAAAACACACCAAGCAGCTAAACTCTGAATGCGTTTCTTGTTGCAAACATTTAAAGACCAATTCGATTTTCTGTCTGGAAATTCACAATCTTTACCTGATGCAATGTACACAGACAATTCAAATATAAGCAATACTGTTTTCTCTCTTGATTGTTTCTCTCAGACAATGGAAATATACACTAGATCTGAGACCAAACAAACAAACAAAAAGTATGGGTATGGACGGTGACAAAAGATTATTTTTAATGGAAAATGAGGCCTGCACACCTGTCTTAATCAAGGACTGATACTTTTATTTTACACAGTTGGTCAGTTACTTTGTTGAGTGAGTGCAATATCATCATGTAACATTGTTAAAAACAGACCTGCAGTAACATGCAAATATAGCTTCTGAGGTGAGAAGGTATGTTAAAATTCTCAAAGTAAAAAGTGGATTTGGGCTGGTGAAGAAAATCATAAATAGTGTAGGGTAATGCAATACATTTGTTCCACAAGACAGGAAAAGAGAAAAGATCTATTACATCTTAATTCTTCTGCTGCCTCCCTTCACACAAAATCCTAGGGAAATCAGGAAATTGGGCAATTGGTGAACAGATGCAAGTGGTGTATGTTAGGGATGACCTTGCAGACATGAATGTACTTTAGTTTGAAACATTTATCTGCAGATAGAAAACATGTATTTGAAATAGATATCTGCAAACTACAAAACACATGAAACAGTACAGAATTACTGAAAATAAACTTGTCCCTCTGACCTTGCAGAAATTTAAAATTACAGATTGGGAGAACAAAAAGCTGCCACTATCCCCTCTATTCCATACACACAGAGAATAATAATTAGGATAGAATTCTAGCTTAAAAATCTAGAACTCAATGTTAATATTTGGATAAGATTAAACCAAAGACTGAAAGTTATCATTCAACAGCCTAACACTCAGAACATCTGGAGTGAACTTCTGGAACCAGCACAGAATTTCACTGTTCTTGGCTCAATCACTCACTTTTTCAGTACAACAGGTGTAAACGGGAAAAAAACCAGCCTTGTTTTCCTGTGTTATTTTGACTTCACTCTGCAAACTATAAACAGCACAAGAATCTAATTAATATTTCAGATGGTTAGGTGCAAAATAATATATATATTTAACCCCTGTCCATTTTAAAGATTTTTGGTCAGGTTCATTTGGGGCAAGAGGCTTAAAGGTGTTCACGGTGAAAAAATAATGGAGGTGGTAACTGAAAAATGCTTTTTCAGTAGCCAGATTGGGTCTACTTTCACTATTCTCTGGTTAGAGTCCACAAGAATTTGTCAGGAATATTAAGAAAATCAAGGAAATCAGAATGAAATTAAGTCAGTAAATTTCTTGTACTTATAAGAACAATATTTTAGTAATAACCATCAAAAATGCATTTATGTACAATGGCTAAGAGGTTTTTTTTAACACAAAAGAGGCTACAATGGAATATACTAAAAAAATACAGAAAATCCTGTGACACCAGAGAAATAGTTCACTCTCAGCAGCTCCTACTGAAACAGTTTACACATGAAATATTTTGATGGGTGAACATACAAGAACTCAACTAACCATGAGGAAAACAGTCCCAACAAAATTAAATGGATGGAAAATGGTGTTGCTTTTCCAAAATTCAGAAAACTAAAATTAAACCTCACCTCTCCTTTCTCCTTCTTCCACCAATGCTGTTGCTGCTCTAGTGGGAGAAGTCTCCCATCCAGCAATACAGACTTCTGAGCTCTGAGATATCCTGATTAGAGGCTGCATGCACTGGGGGTCCCCTATGGGGCACAGATACTTGTAGGCACACAACAAAGAAAGAAAAGGCAAAGAACCAGCAACTAGGAAATGTTCCTTCTGTCTACAGGCTCCAGCCAGCACAAAGCTTGGGAGAGACTTCACAGGCAGCAGGGCTGGACACTTGTTCCCAGTCCTGAAGCAGTTTGTGACTGTGTGAGTCATCACAAACCAGCTGGATCTCAAACAGGAAAAGGAGAAGCAGCAAACACACTGTGCTGCAAACACTGACCATCCCAATACCAAAGCAGGGAAACATGACCTCATATTTAAATGACTGTTTAATTTTCAACGTGTCAGATTTCATACGTTTGTTACAGAGATCTTTCCTTATGTTCTCAAACCACAGAAGTTTACTGGTCATCATTCCTGCTTATACACATTTCCTTGTTTGTCTACACCTCTCAAAACTCCCTGGCACTAGGATAGCAAGCTTCCTTCTGAGGTACAATGCCACCAAATTAAAATGAGCAATCCGTGCCCTGACTTTTGCTGTTCCAACTCATCCTGAAAGGAACAAAGTAGAGTGAGCTATGAATTTTGATAAAATAACTTCAAATACTGGTCACCATAACAAGTTGCCAGTAAGACTTTTGGTAGAGTAAGACTCTACCAAAGGAGACTTCTTACAGGCATTGAATAGTGTGGGTATTTTATACCTCGCTTGGGTCAAATCTGGAAAAAAAAAAGCCAATGGGTTGCCCAGCAGCTACTATTCCTTGAGACATGGAAATGTATTCTGCTAGATGTTGTCCCTGAAAATTTTATCAGAGCCACAGTGAAAAGAAATATAAAGCATTATGATTCTTCCAAATGGCTGAAAAAACAGGTATGCAGAAAGAACAGAAGTATGCAGAAAGAACAGAAGTATGCAGAAAATGAGAGCAAAACCATGTAACTTACTCAATGAAAGGATTTACCATGGATACCTAAGAGCAAGATGGATAATAAAAGTCAACCTAAATTAGATGCACCCCTCTGCTTCTGGAATCAAAGAGGATAAAATTATTTTGAAAATATTTGCTAAGATTTTCTTATGCAGCACAAAGCTCCAGAAAGGCTTTCTATGGCTCGGATCTCATGTTAAAACATCACACTGTTAGGGCTGTAGAGAATCAAGAGGAGTTTGCTATTAATCCACCGCACTGCTTGTTTACCTCTTATTCACTTAAGAGGGAAGGAGGCAGTTCTAGCCACAGGAAAGAAAACACTATTCAGTCATAAGAGCCTCTGCAGTATTATTAGGCAGTGCACTAATTTATAAATTGCTCTACATGATCAAGCAGGCATACAACAACATTTTAGATCAGAAAGCAAAAAAAACATAGGCATTGGCAAAACCTAAGATTACAGGAAAGCCCTGAAGATGTTTCACATAGACAACTTTTTTTTCCTACAGAAATTAACAAAAGAGACATGACAAACACAACAATGAACACATCCCTATGTTAATCTCTGGGGCTTATTCAGCTAAACTGCCTCCGACTACAAAAAGCTTAGTCCAAAAAGAGAGCTGGTGCACTGCAGTAACATTCCGGCTGTGCCCACTTGACAAAGACTCCACTAAGTAGGCCACCAATTTGGAAAAGCACATATACCAAAGTGAACTCTAAAGTACTGGACCAGGGCATCAGCACAGCACAACCGATGGGCTCGGCACCTCATTTCAGCAGGTTTCAAAACTCTGCACAGAAATGCGGGCCCGCGGCTCCTCTCGGCTGTGCCGAATGCGAGTTCCCGGCGGGGTGTCCTGCAGCCGCCCTGCCCAGCTTCCACCTGAGACTCCTCCTCATCATCATCACGCATCATGCTATGGGATATGGGGGCAGAACGTGTGCGTGTGAGAGGCTGGGGCAGAAACAGAGGGTGAAAGAACCCGACCAGGCTGATGCACTCAGCGTGAGGGCCGTGCCAGACCGGGAGCGGCAGCTGGGGGCAGGGAATGCCGGGGGGCAGGTGGAGCGAAGAGCAGCACCTTCCTTCGCTGGGGCGCGGGTCAGCTCCCGCTGGGGTCAGGGGAGGGCAGGGGGCAGACGCTCCTCCCGGGGTCGGGGGAAACGCGGGGCGGGGGGAGGAGGAGGCGCCCGCTGCGGGCGGGGCGGGCGGGGCCTTTCCCATCCCGGAGGGCGGTCCCGACCCCGGCCCCGGCGCCCACCCCGGCCCGGCTGGCTCACCAGAAGAGCAGGTTGGCGCAGACGAAGCCGCCCAGGCTGCGGAGGGGCCGCTCCCAGCTGAGCGCCGCCGCGATGCAGCAGCCCACGGCCAGCCCGGTCTCTCCCAGCACCGCCGCCGCCGCCCCGGCCCCGCCTGACACCTCCGCCGGCTCCGGCTCCGCGGGCGCCGCCGCGCCTCTCTCCTGCGGGGCCTCCGCTTCCTGGGGCTGCGCGGGGAGCGCCGCGCTCGCCATGGCTCGCTGCGGCCGCCGGGCTGCGGCTGGGCCGGGCGGAGCCGGGGCTGGGGCCGGGCCGGGCCGGGGCGGCGGGGGCGGGCCCGGGGCGGGGCGCGGCGCTGCCCCCGCGTTACCCGCACGGCCTCCGCGCAGGTGCCGCGGGGCCGGCCCGGCCAGCGGGACGGGGGAGGCGCCGCGAACCGGCGGGCCCGAGGCTGCCGCCCCTGGTGGGAGTGTCCCCGGGCTCCGGGAGGGACCGTTCCATGCTGGGGGAAAGCTGGGCCGCCCAGTTGCTTTCCAGATTTGGGAAGGTGAAGCCCGCTGGAAGGTGTTGCCAGTGAGACTTGTCCTTCATCTGCTCCTCGCGTGAGTGTGCCACAGGCAAGCACGGATGGAGTACGTCCAGAGGAGTGCTTATCAACTTGCCACCAAGTTGATAAGAGGAGTGTTTATCAATTTGCCACCAAGTTGATAAGAGCGCTGGAGCATCTCCCCAGTGAAGACAGGCTGAGGAAATCGGGGCTGTTCAGCTTGGATTATAGGAGATTGTGTGCAGACGTTATAGAAACCTCCCTGTCTCTGAAGGGAGTTTGCAGGGAAGCTGGAGAGGGAATCTTTGTCAGGGACTGCAGTGATAGGACAAGGGGTAATGGGTTCAAATTTAAAGAGGGGAAATTTAGGTTAGACATTAGGAAGAAATTCTTTGCTGTGGGGGTGGTGAGACCCTGGAAGGTGTGACCCAGGGGTGTTGTGGATGCCCCATCCCTGGCAGCATTCAGAGCCAGGCTGGATAAAGCATGGAGCAGCTTGGTCTGGCTGGGAGATATCCCTGCCCATGGCAGGGGAGGTGAGACTAGATGATCTTTAACATCTATTCCAGCTCCTTGACAGATTCCATGATTCTAAGATAACAGTCCTCAAAATCCTAAGAAAAAACGAATGGAAGTAAATTGCTGCTATCATAATACTGGAAGCTTCTAAGACCACAGAGGAACCTATGGGAGTTTGATGGCTTACATCCAAGAAAAATACTTAAAATCTATACCATGCTGTCCTGTCATCTGCACTGCTACCTATCTGGCCAGCCCCAGGCTCCAGATGGAAGCATGGCACTGTGTCCGGGCTGGTGATGTGTGTAATAGCTGATGTGATTGTTGGGAATCTGAATCCTGGAGAGCGTGCCTGGTGAGAATTGTCACTTGAACATGTTGCTGAATAAGAAGAGCCAAAGATTGGAATCATTGAAGGTGTTTCACAGGATAAAGTGTGTAAATTAAAATAATTTTTACTGCAAGAGCAAGAATGATAATTTTGGATTGGGAATCAACATCTGTTTCAAGCTTGAGCTACCCCATTAGAATGTTTTTTTTAATAGGAAAAGAAGTCACACTCACTTGAAGGTCAATGTATCATTTTTTTTTTCTCTGAGGTAAAAAAAATGAAATAAAATTACAGCATTAAGTTATAACATTGGCTGTGGATTGCAAGTCTACTGTATGTTTTCACCAAGTACCCTTGAAAGGACTTACTTTATTTTCCTTATTCCACATGCTCTCTCTAGCACATAAGAGGAAACATACAGAATGTTGTTCTAAATAGACAATAAACATTTTTCTAAAGGACATTTTAGTTTTATGCTAATTAGTTACACTTCTATGCTCTTATGTCTAAAAACCTAGAGCCAGGCAGACTTACCTGAATAATAAGCCCGGCTAAAATGTGATGAAGTGTTGTCTCTGAAAGTCTGAGAGAGCAAAAGGAAAGAGACAGGCTCCTCTAGTAACCTGAAACATACATGAAAAGGAAAGGGAAGTAATTGCAGCCAGGCTGGAGAAATACTTCGTTCTCTTGTTTGAGTTTTGTGCTGATGAATAAAAATTTGTCCTAAAAAGTCTTGGTCAAAACAGGGTGTGCTCTGTGTGCTGGAAAGCAGGCAGCTGCCTCCTGTGTGTGCAAGCAGCTGCTCAGAGTTACTGAGCACTCCTCCCACTGTCACTTGGGCATCTCATGCTTTCCTAGGCTGAGCAGTAGTTGTTTGCTTCCCTGGCTTTGAGAGAGGGAGCAGAGGGAATCCTAACAGGAAATCTTAACAGTCCACAGGAGAAAAGCCAACCTTTTTGCAAGGAAAAGAAGGTAGAAGAGATGGGCACAAATGAGAGAGTTTCTCCTATACTCACCCTTTTTTCAGGTCGCTGCAGGATGCCAAGTTGCTGCTCTAGTGAACACTGCCCATAACTTGCAAAAACCATCCCCAGCTTAGCCAGGGGCAATTTGCTTTCCCTTGCTAGCATTCAGTTATTTCAGTAATGTGGGCGGTTCTATCCAGCACCCAAATGTAGCTAACTCCAAACAGTTAATAGGTAAGCCTGGGAAGGAGTCAGATGTTCCTCATGCACTTTTAAAGTGACCATGGGATAATTAGACTCAGAAAACACACTGGGGTTAAAATGTTAAAATTTGGGTTTAACTAACTGTAGGATAATGGCTATGTAATCCCACTGCCCTAAGGATTATAACCATGGCAGGTTTGAGGCAATCCTCCCTTACCAATATTCCACTTCTTTTTTTTTGAACATTTGAGAATGATTGTATGTTCCCCCTGCCCCAAATTTTTACGCTTTGTGACACTCCCTTCGGTCCCTGGTGTTCAAAAATTCCCCCTTCTCCTCAAAAAAGGAGGGATGGAATCTGGGTGGGGGAGGATGAGGTGAGGTGGAAAGGGTAGACTACAAATAAGGGAACTCTTTTGGATTTTGATTAAGGTTACATCCATTTTAGATTACTGGCCTCTGTTTTCCTGACATATACCATGAAGGATATGAACAGAAATTAGTGAAAAGCTCTTCCAGAATAGGTTTTGTAATTTAGCTAATGGAAAAAAAGAATGCTTGATGGATACCAGTTCTCCTTTTTTCACTGTTGATTTTTTCTTAGGCTTGGTTTGTATGAATGATTTTACTGAAAGCACTCTGGTATAAACATTAGTGTGAGAGAAGAAATGGATGCTTCATTCCCAGCCATTGAAAGTTTAGATGTCTTTTTCAGAAAAAAATAATAGTTAATAGGTTGTCTGTCTTTGATCTTCCTGTACTTTGATGTTTTGCCTGCCAGGGTTTAAAAGGTTTGTGTGCAGTTTGAGTTTGGGATGGGAAAAACTAGGACTAGCAACCAATGAGCAGTTGCAAGGGTGAGCTGTAATGCACAGAATTAGGTTAGGGACTGTGGGTCTGCTGCTAGGGACTACAGTATAAACAATGGATGGAAACCAAGGAGGAAGCTTTGCAAGTGGTTGTTTCAAAGGAGTTTACAAATGTAAAAGCATTCTAATGCTTCTGAAATATGTTTGAAAACTCTGATGTCATCCTAGAGTAAGTATTGAATTCAGTTGAGGATTCCAACTCAAAATGGAATGAATTTACCTCCTTTTTCTTTTTTGTTTAAGCTTGTTTTCCATTAGCTTCATTTCCTGACAGGATCACAGACTAGGTTAGTTTGGAAGGAGCACCTGTAAGACATTTGATCTGACCTTTCTCTCCCCACATACACATTTGGCACCCCTGTTCCTTGGCTGTGACATGTTGCTCGGTGTCATGCCCAGATTAGCTCTGATCATCTCTGAGGGCTAGAGATTCTGCAGTGCACTCTGGGCAACCTGTTTGAACATTTGGCCACATTCATTGCGAAGAATATTTTTTTATTATCTATTCAAAATTTCTTATTTCGCCCATTTCCTCTAATGTGGTTCTGCACCTTGCAGGGAAGGGCTCTGTCCCCGTCTGTTCTATAACCACACATCAGGTACTGTGTAAGTAGATCGCTGTTAACCCCTGTCCTCCAGAGTGAGTGAACCCAGCTCTCTCAGCCTTTCCTTCTATGCCATCAGCTGTGTGCCACTGACATTCCAGGGACCCTCCGGACTTCTTCCAGTATGTCAGCGTCTGTCCTGTCTTGGGTTGGCCCAAACTGGACAAAGTATTCCATATGTGGTCTCACAAATGGTAGAAGGTAGGGAAGAATTGCTTCCCTGTTCCTACTAGTGACCTATAATTAGGGCAGGATTATTGACTCTTTGCCCAGTCATACCCATGGCACTTTCTTACTTGTCTCTGCTTTGAGGCTGAGGAATTGTATCTTAACCACTCTTACTATTGCAGTACTCTTGTGTCTTAGTCACTCTTAATAAGGTATGACTTTAAACATCCATCTTCCCTTTTCCTGAATTTTTTTTCAGTTCTATAATTGAAGTAAGATTTCTCAACAAGAAATAACTTTCTTGGGTGGTTCTAGTCATATAAACTCTGCATTTGTTAGAAGTAGGAACAGATCAAAGATTTTAATAGTTTCATAACAGTGTGCCGTGGTTTACTTTTGTAAAAATTTCTAAGGAATACTTTCTTTTTTTTCTTCCGTTTTATTTTTTCTGTAACTAATGAAATGTCACCATTTTGTCCCTAAGGGCTAATGTTCACTTCAGAACCTGCTGTACAGCTCATTCTGGTATTCCCCATCACCTCACCGCCTCGCTTTATCTACTTGGAATTTATTTGCCATTTCATTGAACAACTAATCAGTTTTGTAAAGTCATGCAGGTTTTTTTAGTCTGCCCTTATCCTGGCTTTCCTGAATAACTTGATGTCATAACTAAACTCTAAGCTTGCTCTTCCTCATTTTCCAGTTGACTGTTCAATGGTTGAAGGTCTTAGAGCCTCTCCTGAACCTCAGGAATGATCTCCTTCCTTTGTTTGGAATGGATTGTTTTCTCTTACTGTCTCTTCCCTGTCTTCAAGCCAATTATTTACCCACATCAGGACTTCTTCTGTGTATACATAGCTCCCTTTAAGCCTTAGGTGATGAATTTTGCCAAAACTGGTTTTGAAATCCAGGTAAACCAGACTGCCCTCATTCAGAGATCTGTCAGAGGACTTTAGCAGACTTCTAGAGCAGAGCTTTATTAATCAGAACCTATGCTGTGTCTTCTCAATAGATCACATATCTTCAGGTGTTCACTCATTCTATCCTTTATTATAATATTG